GAAAGTGAGAATATTAATAAAAAGAGTATTTGTTATTTATAACTACTTAGTATTTCATATACCAAGTAGTTTTTTAATTATGTAACAAAAAATGGAAGTAACAAATCAAATTACTTATGCAAATGCTAAAATACAATATAATAATTGTAAAATTTTTGAAGAAAATTTTTTAACAACATTACATTATTTATAACTTTTGAATAAAGATACTGGTCTTGAGATCAAAGATATTTCAAATCGTATTGAAGTATCTCTTAAAACATATAGAAATCTAAAAAAAAGTGCTAAAAAAATACTTGATGATTTTGAAATTAATCAACGTGAATTCGCTTTATGTGTACTTGTAAATAACAAGAAACAAGTATGGATCAGTCGAAGAAACAACCCAACTAAGGATTATTTTGATCATTTTCAAGCAACTGGAGGAAGAAAAGAAATATATGAAATATATCCTGAATGTGCAATACGTGAAGCAAAAGAAGAAGCAAAAATTATAATTACAGAAAATGATCTTAAATTTGTTACTTGTAGCGAAGGATTTAGAGTTTTTCCAGATGAAGATAAAGAAACATTATACAAAACAGCAATTTATTTTGCAAATATAGGGGATCAGATTCCTGAACAAACAGAACCTGATAAAAATGATAAATGAAAATTAGTTGATCTTAAAGATTTATTCAAGTTTACTTTAACAAAATCTTTACAGGAGAATTTACCAAAGCTTATTGAGATGATCAACAATGTGATCAAACCAAATAGTAGAAAGAGAAAAAAACTAAATAATGTAGAACATGAGCACCAAATTATTAATGGAAATGAAAATCATGTTAATGATAATAGTAGTGAAATAGAAGAAAGTATTGCGACTAGTCCAGTAGTTGAATAGATTTTTTTAACAATATTTTTATTTTTTATTTAATAAACATAATCTACTTAGTACTTTTGTACCAAGTAGAATTTTAACATTGTAATTTAATAACAATGGATCATCTTAAGACTTACAAATATTTACTCGAACAACTAAATAAAGAATTAGAAAAACAAAATATTCAATTTTTAAATATTTTTAAAATAAAAAAAATGTTAATTCAAGAATCAAAAAAAGATTTTACTACAGGATTAGATGTTTTTGATGTAGTTAATGCTACGATTAAAACATTAAAAACTGAAACTATTATTCTTTTAAACAAAGTTTTATTAAAAATCAAAGACGATAAAGATAATTATGCATTTGAAGAGTATCATTATAAATCAGATGATGAAAGATTACAATATTTAAATGTAATATTGTAGAAGCAAATATCAATTTATATTTTGTATTCTGTTCAGTAAAAGATTACCGAACAGAAATTTAATCATGTAAAAAATGTCTCAAGACAAATCTGAGCAGACTAATTATAATTTGTATCAAATACTCTTTAATCATTATGAAAATGAATTAGATGATAATACAATTATCTCAATTGTTATTGATTATATAAAATCAAACCAGAAAAATTCTAAAGAAATTCTAAATGAAAATATTATTACTTCAAACCAAATTGATTCTAAGAATATTCATGAAGCATTACAAGATTGTATTTATTATTCAGATTTCGATATTTTAAATGAAATTAAAGTAGATATGCTTTTATTTGATTCTGAAGATAGTGAGGTAAAATGTGAGTTGACAGAGATTTGTAATCAAATTTTAAAAGAATATGAGAATAAAGTTTATGTATCTGTAAATAATGAGGGATGGAGACGTTATCTGTTAAGGAAAGAAAAATTAAATGAATATATAGTTAAATATAGTGAAAAATATTTTCAAAATAATCAAGAAAATGAATATATTAATAAAGAAAATGAAGAATTTTAATTTTGTATAATATTTTTTTTAGTTTATCATATATTTTAGCAACTATATTCTATCTAGTGAAAGATCACTAGATAGAATTTTACTTATATAATTCTATATAAAAATGAATTTAGAAGAAGCAATCAATGATAGTAATTATTATCAAGATGAGGAAATATTGAAAGAAATTTTAACAAATTACAAAGAATTAACTGATGAAATAAATAATATTAGTAGCAATGTCTTTAATGAATATGAAAATGATGAAGATTTCTTATCAGTAATAAACAATGAGACTATGTGACGTTTTTTAAAAGAAAAAAGAAAATTAAATGAATATCTGTACAAATACAAATTGAAATATAATCAAGAAATTTTCGATAGAAGCAGAGAAAGATTGAGAGAATTTGTAGAGAACAAAGAATTTGTATCAATTAACGTGAATTTTACAGAGTATAGATCTATGATTATTACAATTGACAAGAAAAAACTTACAAATATGTTAGTGATTAATGATGAAAAAGGAAAAAAATATTATTATAGTTTTATAGCGATAGAAGAACAAGATAGTATTATTTTTAAAAAAAAATTCTGATTTATCTCAATATTTTTATTATATTTTATATTTTTTTTTATATTATAATCTGTTTAGTGAGTAATTACCAAACAGAAATTTAACTACGTAACCTATAACGATGCCTGAATCTTCAAAGGTAAGATTTTTAATCTTGCTTAGTATTGAGATCTTGTGCATGCTGCTACTAGAATATATTAGTTTGATTCTGAATTCTGATCATAATAATATTCATCAGATGATCAGATAAGGATCAGACTAGTGTTTGAAGGATGTAGTGAAATTTCATAGCATTGTAGTGAAAAGATTTTATGGTTCAAACCCTGTTTGTTGAATGTGGTGAATTTTCATAGCATAATACAGATGTACTAACATTTTTAAAAAATATAGAAAAGAAAAAAATCAATAACAGAAATTGGAGATGATTATGAAGCAAAACTCTTGATCGATCTTGTTCAAAATGGTTTTAATACGAATATTACTAAGACAAAAATCAGAAAAAATGGAAAAACATTATTTGTAGGAGATGGAGGAATTGATTTATTTGGAAGTTTTATAAATATGCATTATATAATTCAAGCTAAATTTAGAACAGATGAA